ACCTGCTTTTTGTTATATGCCTGCTTCTTGGTGTTTCACATATATCAGCTTCATCGACAGCAAGTATATAGTATATAGCAAGAGTATCATAGTATCCACTTTGTTACTTTTCTATAACTTTTTACTATAGTTTGATTTTTTTTGTTGTTGATCAAGAGATCATCAGAAAGAGTTGCAAATCTTAAATATGCATTATTCCTTTTTGTATATTTACAAATAGTAATACAAAACATACATAAATAGTAACTCTCACAATAATAACTTGTTATTTAAATTTTTTTTATATTAAGTTTTATAAAAACTTTGCTTACAGATCATCAAAATATTTGTTATATTTATTCTGTTTTAGCAAGATTTACTCAAAAAAAAATCTTTGTATTTTTTTTTTTTTTTTTTAAACTTGGCTAGAAAAGCCAATGAAACCTTTATTAGATATACTTGTAAATACATATATAATTTTTAAATTGTGTTATAATCTAATACTAGGCTATGCTAATCTAATCAGCTATCTGATATTTATCTAGCTGCTCTTATAAATATTCAAACATATCCTAGTTGTACTACTAGCATACTATGACTAAGGCTAATATTTGTGATCAGAGTACCTTTCAACTTTGAAGAGGCATTGTTATTAAATCACTAAGCCAGTAAAGAAGAATCATACCTGTATTAATACTATTTCTGCTTTCTAAATTCTACTATATTTGGCTAAAACTATATTTCTACTTCTACTACCTTGCTTCTGTATAATTTATAAATTAGTAATATTTGAGTTATAGATCTTTAAAGATCAGAGAGTAGTAGTAGAAGGGACAGGTTAGTCGTTGTTTTTGTTTTGTACTGTATAAAATTTACTAAGTATTAATATCACATTCAATCATTAGCACCTCCCTCATTGGTGTCAAAACATTTGAAAGAAACCGGGAAAACTGTGATTGTTCGCGGTCAAGGCGGCATTAATGGTAATATCCTCTCTTGTATTATTAATAATAAAGCTTGGGTTAATCACGAACTTCTTTGGGTTTATAGGAACACATTCTGGTGCAGCTGTTTGCATATTCGAAGACTATACTTATACACCACTCAGTGGTAAAAATGCGAATATCACACTCAAAAAACCTCAAGGACTTTGTCGCTTTATACAAGTCAATAAGGATTATTGTCTTATTGATGTTACAGTGCAAGGAATTTCTCCGGGACGCCATGGGATTCACATCCATGAGTTGGGTGACATTTCGGCCGGTCCTTCAAGCACAGGGGAACATTACAATCCGGATAATGTTGAACACGGGGATATCGAAAGCGGTCACGTAGGAGATTTGGGAAACATTCATGTTGATGAGAAAGGATGGGGAGATCTTATCGTGGAAAGTCGTCGAATTAAAGTTTGGGATATTATCGGGAGGTCAATGGTAATTACACATGGAGAAGATGATGAAGGTAAGGGTGGTAATGCGCAAAGCAAAATTGATGGGAATTCTGGTCCAGGTTTAATTGCAGGGATTATTGCGCGTAGTGCTGGTGCATTTGAAAATAAGAAAAAGGTTTGTGCTTGTTCTGGTAAAACACTTTGGGAAGAGGCCAGGATATAACTTGTTATAGCAATATCTCATTAATATAATATGTAAAGTCCAGGATATAACTTGTTATAGCAAGATTTCATTAACTTAATATGTATAAGATAGCATTTTAATTTTGAAATAAGTTTATTATTGTATCCATCGTGAAACATCTCTTCTTGATGATTTAATAGTGTAATATACAACATAATTATCTTGTGGAATATTTTGATTACTTTTTGACTTTATTAAATTTGTTCAATTTTGCAGAATTTTTTCTGACTTCTATTTGATAAACGTTTTAATGATGGTAGAGGCCTGCATGGGCATAAGAATCGTACTTTTACTAGCCCGCAATTTTTAAAATTTTGAATTACGGCCCTGCCTCTAATAGCACGGGCCAATCAACCGGCAGGATAAGGTAGTTTGGGTCAGGGACGATGATTTTCTGCGGTATAATTCTGCAACGTTCTGTGCATTAAAATTATAAAATCCGTGCATATCCGTGCATATCCATGCATTATAACTTATGATATCATTGACCTCAAATATTCTGCAACCAGATACTGGTTATTCCTCCAGATATATCTATCAAAATTTTTAGCTTG